TTATTAAATATTTGAATAAATGGAATATTATTATTTGATAGCATCATAAATTTGTAAACTGTAAATTATAAATAGTTATAATTGTATTTTAATTATAATCTAACATTGATATTTTAATTGTAAAATACAATACAATTATGACTATAATTATATTATATGAAATTGTATTTACGATTGTAAATTCTTATATAAATTATTCTTATATAAATTATTCTTATATAAACACGAAAAATTATCGAAAATATACGTATAATGATTACATAATAGTATTTAACATAATAGTAATTCATTAAATTAAGGTATTTGTTTCTGAATTATATATTTTTGGAATATTTATAAAAGAGTAACTGTTTATATTTTCATGTCAAAGAGTCATTAATAAATTCCGAAAATTTTTATATAAAATGTAAAAATTCGATTCTAAATTAATGATTAAATATAAGCATTATAAAATTTGACGGACGCCTTCGTTACGGAATCACGAGTCAATTATTATAAATTTAATGATATGCTTTCCGTTAGCTTTATTTATGAATTCCATATCGCGCGGAACTGAATATTCTTCAAATAAATTATTAAATTATGATTGCGAAAATACCGTGTTCTTTCCGCGTTCTCTTCGCGTTCTTATACAAGATTATCATTTTAACGAAAGAATTTTATCACTGTCCCTCTCGTCAGATAATATTTCTAAATATTGCTAATTAAATATAAAGAAATATCGAATAAGAGAGAGTGAAGATTTGATGTGATAAGTCAACGATTAAATATTAACTTTACAAAATTTAACGATCACCTTCGATATTATAGAATCGTGAGTTAATTATTATGAATTTAATAATTTGTTTTTTCAGTTATATTTGTATTTACGAATTTCGTATTGGAAAATATTCATAAATAAATTAATAAATTATGGTTGCGAAATCACCGTATTTTTCCCACATTCTTCTCCCGCGTTCTTAGACGAGATTATCGTTTTAATAAAAGAGTTATCATTGTTCCTTCCGTTAAATAAACGTTAATGAGAGTTGCGTGGCTCGCCGAGGAGTCGAAACGATTTTTATCATGGAGAATTTCTCATCGGTTCTTGTGAGATCCATTCGCGACGTTTAGTTCGGTGCCCTGTTAAAAATTTGGAATTTTTATTGTAAGATTGAAAGAACTAATCCCAGGTTTTCCTGGCAATTTTCGAAAGAAATAATTTCGGTAATAATTTAACGACGATACGCTTCTTTAACGTCGAATTAATTTAAATAATATATATTGAGATAAGAGAAATGTATCTTTTTTTTCTTCGTTAAAAATGTTCTATTATTATTAGGATTGGTATTATTATTGTCTATATATAATGTCAGAAAGATTTAATAGTAGATTATACTATAATAGTATATTATATATGAATATAACGTTGTGTATAAATTTTAATTTTTCAAGTAATTTTATATTGTAAGTAATTTGTATAATTTTTTTGATAAAAATGATTACGAACAAATATATTTTTAATTAATATAATTTGTCTCTTTTGAAAAATTATTTCTAGGTGCTGGGGATATTAACATTAATTTTTAGTTTTTTTTAAGGAACTATTTGCAGATATTGGACATCCATCGCCATTTTTGAAATATTAGTTTTTAGGTATATAACATTTTATATATATATATATAATAAAATACATGCACAAATTCACGTATCCAAAATATTTTTATAATTTTTAATGATGTTATATATTATATATAAACAAAATTATACATAAATGTTACGTAAAATGTGCGAATACTTAAAAATTTCGAGACAAATCGAATGGGTACCCCTATATCAGTAAGATATTGATTAAAAGAAAAGAAATTATTAATTTAAACGTTATAAGAATAAGAATCCAGAGAATTAATCCAGAATTAATTGTTTAAAATTATTTAATTTATTTTATTTTGCACACTGTTTGAATTAAAATTTTTTAAATCTTGCTGATATCGGGTTCGATTGATCTCGCGCACGCGAACAGTACCCCAAATTATATGTGTTCGCACATTTAACACAAACTCCAATAATGTATGTGTTTTATTATTTATAAATATAATCGTTCGTAATCACATTTCAATAAAAAAGGTCGTTATATCCATTTAATTTTCAATAAAAAAATATATTTCTTAATAATGGAAGAACATGTTTTCTGATGTGCATACTAATTTCGCGAATTGAAGATAATGACGAGGAATAATTATCGTTAATTTATTACTGAAATCATTGCTATTGGGAATAGGAACGAATCCGGAGGATCCAGGATTCGTTCCCTCCTACAATGAAGTTCCCGACGTACAATGGATCATTTAACTTTTTTCCGCAGATTGATCTTGCGAAATCTGATGTAGAAACAAGATGTTAATCATTCTCTATTTTTAAGATCGCTCCTCTTTTTATCGGATTACCGGTATGTCACTCGCGAATTTGAATATTCTGAATATTATCGATTTATTTATTCGTCGCGTTTTCTCGGGAATTTTAAATCGCAATTTATCTTATAATTTAATCGTTGATTTATACATTGAAACTTTGTTTATTTGTTCTTTCCACGTTTTATTCAATATTGTTTTTAATAGTTCGTATAAAATGCTGGTAGTGCAAATATTTTCTTTTATAATTTAAATGACGATAACTTTATTAATGACTGTTATAAACGTGAAATGGATGTCATTTTCAGTGCCCTACTCTTCCAAATTATGGTTAAAATAAACATAAAAAATTCATATAAATCCAGGAAAAAGTTTATATTTAATTATATATAATTGTGTAGATATAATTGTGGATTTTGACTCAATTTAATTATATATATAAAATTATTTTTGATTATACATAAATAAATCGCATTCTTTATAGCATATAAAACCCAACAAAGTTAAATAATATAATTAAATAATATCATTTTTCTATTTCATATAAAATTTTGTATAAAAATTCCATATAAAAGTTTTATTTATATTTATACTTGCTTATTGCACTCTACATTTTAAACAGATAATTTAAAATGTAAAGAGCAACAAACAAGCTTAAATAGATAACGGATTATTTTCGTTTATTCGCCGGACATTTACTTGCTCGATTTATAAAATCAATTTAATGTCTGAAGCTCTTGTAATAAGATCAGAAATTAAATTGAACAGTATATCTTTAATCTTATTTGTTATCCTTTGCAAATTTTATATAATTTTCATAATTAAAACTTAAATACGAGAAAAATAGCACATCGCACGTCGCGTAAACGAACGAACTAACACATCCTTACGTGCTTGCGCGAAATTTTAACGTCCAAGATCGGACATTTTGTGGACGTCCAAATATTGGCCGTTAACGGATGTCTTGAATCGGATGTACGATGAACGGTCATTTCATGTCCAGGACGTACGGACGTAAAATGGACATAAAATAAATGTTCACAGAATGTCCTGTGCTATCTGGGAATCAATATAGAATAATTTATTATAAATAATTAAATTTAAATGTTAAACACATAATTAAAATTAATAAATAAAATGTCTATTTTTAAATATGTATTTAATTACAATATGCAATATTTCATTTGCAGCGCCACAAAACACAAAAACAAAAAACAAGAGCCATAAAGAAAAATTAAAAATTGAATGTATTATTAAAAATTTAATTTACTAGAACAACACAGGTGCGCGCTTCGCGCGCGCTATTGAGCTATTACATTTTTTACAACAATGGATTCTTCTCATTATTTTATCTAAAAGTATTGAAGTAAGATCATCGAAAAGTGAATATTTTACGAACTTTCTTCTCGCTTTTTATGCTTATTCTTCTTTAACTTTAAATAAATAAAATATTTATTCTAATATTCTTCTTTCACTATCTCTCTTTTAATATTTTTTATACTTTTAATACTTTTATGTACATATATATATTTATATACATATATATAAATATATATATGTTAATTAAACATATTGATCATTTATTTACAAAAATTAAATAAATTAAAGATAATAATATTTAATAATAATATTTATTACCTAATATTTCTCTCTTCTTTTCTTTCTCTTCCTCTGTCTCTCTTCTTTTCTACTTCTTTTAATAAAGCTTCTTTCTCTATTTCTCTGTCTCTCTTCTCTTTCTTTCTTTTTTCCCTCTCTCTGCTTTCTTTAATAAAATTTCTTTATCTCTTTCTCTGTCTCTCTTCTTTCTCTCTCTCTTTCGCTATCTTGTCTCTTCTATATAATTTTAAATAAAACATTTACCATAAAAAAAAATAACATAATTATAAATAATAATATTAAAATATTGTATACAACATAACATAACATAATTAACTTCTTTTCTTTTTCTTTCTCTCTCTTTTTTCGCTTCTTTTAATAAAGCTTCTTTCTCTATTTCTTTGTCTCTCTTCTCTCTCTCCTTTTCTCCCTCCATCTACTTTTTTAAATAAAATTTCTTTATCTCTTTCTCCGTCTATTTTCTCTCTTTCTCTCTCTCTCCTACTTTAAATAAAACATTTACCATAAATAACATATGATTATAAATGTAACTAATAATATTAAAATATTGAATACAACATAATAATTATAATGATAATCTCTCTCCGTCCTTCCCTCTTTCTCTTCCTCTCTCTCTCTCTCTCTCTCTCTCTCTCTATATATATATATATATATATATATATATATATATAAAATATGCCTTTTCTCTATTTGTCTTTCCGCTTCTTCCACCCTTTTTTTCTTTAACTTTAATTTATTTTATATTTCTTCTTTCCTTAACGTAACAATCAACCTGTCAACTGTCAAACTGTCAAACGACACTAATGAAGCAAGTCGCTCAGCAAATTACTATTGACGACCAATAACCAATCATCATCGCGGAAAAGAGGCAACAATGTCAATAACATCCCTTTCTTAGAGAAGGGTTTAGTTTAAAAATTGGATGTATTGTTAAATAATATATAATAAAAATAAAAAAAGAATTGTTTTATATTGACATAAATTTTAATAGTTTTATATAAGAGACATTGCGTATTCTCTCGATATAGCATTTACTCATAAATTCTCATATTATCTTCTTATGTATCATATTTACTTATTTATGTTTTGGTTGTTGCTACATCTAACAATGCATCAGCCAGTTCTTCAAATCGATCTGCTTGTTCACAATGTGATAAAAGCAATCGATTAAATTTTTCGTGGCCATAAAATGCACCTGCTATCGCGCCGGTCATACTAGCAATTGTATTTGTATCGCCTCCTATAGTAATCTAAAATAATGTAACGAAGATATAATATTTAATTATAAATGACATTTTTAAAAAATATTTCTCTGTGTAATATTATTATAATTAATCTGCCATGATATCATAAAATTTATAACTTACAGCATATTGAATTGCTCTTCTGACAGGATTATCAGTTCGTATTCCCTTTATACGTTTTTCTGCATTTAGAAAACAAAAAATTGCAGTAGGGACTGATTCTAAAGCTGTGAGCTTATTACCTAGTTCTTCAATTATCCTTTGTTCATTAAGTTCACCTCCAGTTTCAGAAAGTAGATTTTTTACTATTTTTAACCGTTCTTTATATGGTTGGCTGTAATTTATTTGATATGATTAAAATAATTTTGTTTAAATATAATACATATATAGTATATATAATTTCTCTATAAAAGAAATACCTTTCATTAACCTCGATTTTATCCATTTTGTTTATAAGATCATCAATGAAATTAGAAATGTTTAATTCTTCACTGGGATGTAAACATAGACTTTGTTGAATTGCTATAGCCTGTGATAATAACAAATTTTTGTGTGAGATATCTATTAACATAGATATATTAAATGTATGCATATTTCTTCTTATTAACACAAATAAATCTGTAATTACTTGTAATATAGCACCATTTATTCCCAATTCATGCGCATGTGTAATTTGTGTCACTTCTTTCACATAATGTAAAAGATTATCATAATTGTTGTAGCAATACAACGATACAGGTGCGATTTTCATTGCACCACCATTACCATAAGAACCTTGACCATCAAACAAATCCTTTGCTGGACCTTTCACATCTGTTCCTGGCCCAATTTTTTTATTTTTTAATTTGAAAAGTACCTATATAAGCAGAAAACATTTGTTGTAATTTATTATTATTACAAACCCTAATTATGAAAAAATTATAATTACAATTGCAGAAAAAAATATCTGTTATGATTATAAAAATATTTTATTATTTATATATACTTATATACACATATGTATATATATATATATATATATATATATACACATATATATATGTATATATATATATATATATATACATACATATATATATAATATATATATATATATATATATATATATAACAGTATAATATTAAACATATTTTATTAAAATATATCTTAATAATATTATAAAGTATCTTATTTCATACACACACACACATACATACATACGCGCAAGCGCGCGCGCGAACGGGCGCGCGCGTGTGTGTGTGTGTGTATGAAATAAGATACTTTATAATATTATTAAGATATATTTTAATAAAATATGTTTAGTTATACTGTTTTAGTATGTTTAAATATGCATGAGGGAAATAAATTTGAATGTATAATATAAATTTATATACTGAATATGCACTATTTTCTTAAATAGATTAAAATTATATAAATGCTAAAACTATATTACTGACGTTCATACAGGCAATTCCATAATCACGTTTAGGATCTTGAAAATAACTTTCTACAAATCGTTTTGCTACGTCAATAATATCCAGATCTCGTTTCTCAATTAAGGATTCAGCTACGGAACGAGTCATTGCCGAATCACATGAAAACTTCATGACGAACTCTATACAATTAAAAGAGGTTTCATTTAAAAAAATTGTGATTTACTAAACAAACTAAAAATATAGATAAAATATAGAATATACAGGGTGTCCTAGACCACCCGTACACCCCTTTTCTTTTAAAAACTAAGCATTTTAGAGAAAAACGTTTTCGACAAAAATTGGTTTTGAGGGGAACATAAGATGGTGTCATTGGTTTGACCTTGGCATCGTTAAGGTCAGGGACACCTTTAATTTTTTAAATGGAATCACCTATTTTTTATTGCATATTCTTATATATAACTTATGTCGAGAGCTTTCCAAAACACTATAATAAAGTATTTTTTCGTGGAGTACTTTTCGAGTTATGAGACTCGAATTATGAGACTAAAATAATTTTTCAATTTTACATAAATCATAAAATATCTAGTAAAATATTAATTTTTTTATTATCTTACCTTAATACTTTTATGTACAAAATAATGAGAGGAATCAATTGGTATAAAGAAAACACACAGTTGTTTTTAAGAAAAAATATGTAATTGTTAATTGCAAATTACATATTTTTTCTTAGGAACAATTATGTGTTCTTTTTATACCAATTGATTCTCTCATTATTTTGTACATAAAAGTATTAAGGTAAGATAATCGAAAAATAAATATTTTATTAGATATTTTATAGTTTATGTAAAATTAAGATATTATTTTAAGCCTCATAAATCGAAAAGTACTCAATGAAAAAATACTTTATTATAGTGTTTTGGAAAGCTCTCGACATAAGCTATAAGAATATGCAATAAAAAATAGGTGGTTCCATTTAAAAAATTAAAGGTGTCCTTGACCTGACCTTAACGTTGCCATTCAAGATCAAACCAATGACACCATCTTATGTTCCCCTCAAAACTATACAATTTTTGTCGAAAACGTTTTTCTCTAAAATGCTTAGTTTTTGAAAAAAAGGAGTATACGGATGGTCTAGGACACTCTGTATATATTATATATATGTATATACATAAACAAAATGTGCGAATTTTATACGCTAATAATTCGCGTGAAAAATAATAAAACGTGAGAAATCAATATCGAAAGAGACTTTATTATGAATAAAGAAAAAAAGTTTCAAAGAGAATAAATTACTTATCTTACTTTTCAATTTTGATTCCTCTAATATATCGAGTTTCTGTTGTAGGTAGATTTTCTTGCGACCTGTCACTTCTCTGAACCCGAATGGTTTTCCAAGAATATCTCCAACCAAAACGCCTAGTATTGTACCGCGAAATTTACTTTTCAATAATTCCAAGTCCATCTTTAACAATAGTTATTTTCTATTTATGCTCAAATGATACTGAGTAATATTCAGAGTTTCAGTTATGTGTTTTCTATTCGGACGCCATTATTAAGTAAATGGAAACAGGCAAATACAGGTTTATAATCTCACTTGCAAATGTCTCCTTCTTTTTAAGTGACAAGGAGCGGGGAGATTCCCACTCATGCTGCTGTAGTGAGGTAATATAAGTAGATGAGCATAAGTAGCATAAGATCATTAAGTAAGAGAGAAGGAGATCGAATCAACAACATGAAACAAATGTGGTTCCGATTTGTGCCATCTAATTGAGAGGGAATCCGCTGAGGGAATAGTTTCTTATGATTGGGCGCCATTTGCAATTATTATTAAAATCTTATCCGGCCAGCCCGTCTTTATTTCAGTTATTTACCTGTGACTTTATGCAGTTTTATCATGAAAAATGGCATGTTGGATACGCGAATGCACCAAAGAAAGAAAAAAAGATGCTTCAAGGAAGAAAAGCCTTTTTACAGTTCGCACGAAAAATGTTCATAGGACGTTCTGTGCTATCGGGTTACTTTTTTAAAAAAAGATAAGAGGCCAAATTCATGCAGTAGAATTATTTTTATATAATTATAACATATCCTACAAAAATAATATCAAAAAATTGCACCAATTTAGGATGAAAATTGGTCCAAGTTTAAAAGTAGAAATATTTTAATTGAAAACTATTATATAACATAGTTTTAATTTTAAAAATTATATTAAATAATTACAATTTATTTAAAAATTGAAAACTGAAAATTAATATAAAAAAAAATTTAGAAAAATTTTAAAAAATTAAGCAATGCCAACTTTATTTGCATATTGTTCAGCTTATTGCTAAATTTCCAAATATAAATCAATATAAAATACTTAAAGAAATTAAGTAATTTTTAAATATCAAACAAACCATTAGAATTAATAATTAAAATGTCTATTTTGTAAATATGTATTTAATTATAATATGCAATATTTATTAGCGGTACTATAAAACACAAAAACAAGAAACAAGAACACAAAAAACAGTTTCAAAAAATGAGTGTATTATTAAATAATATTTAATAAAACGAATTGTTTTATATTGATAAGGACTAATAAATTTTTATAATTTTACATAAAAGATATTATAATATTCTCACGATATATGTATAGTATTTATTCATAAATTCCCGTATTATCTTCTTATGTATATTTCTTATATACATCATATTTACTTATGATTTAGATGTTGCTATACCTAACAATTCATCAGCCAGTTCTTCAAACCGATCTGCTTGTTCACAATGTGATAAAAGTAGTCGACTAAATTTTTCATGGCCATAAAATGCACCTGCTATCGCGCCGGTCATACTAGCAATTGTATCTGTATCGCCTCCCAAAGTAATCTAAAATAATATAACGTACATATAATATTGAATGATATTACATATAATATAAATGACATTTTTCACAAATATCCCTGTGCAATATCATTATAATTAACGTGCCATGATAGTTTTATTATAAAATTTATAACTTACAGCATACTGAATTGCTCTTCTGACAGGATTATTAGTTCGTATCCTCTTTATACGTTTTTGTGCTTTTAGAAAACAAAAAATTGCAGTAGGGACTGATTCTAAAGCTCTGACATTATTACCTAGTTCTTTAGCTATCCTTTGTTCATTAGGCTCATCTCTAGTGTCAGAAAGTAGATTTTTTACTCTTTTTAATCGTTCTTTATATGGTTGACTGTAATTTATTTAATATGAGTATAAAATAATTTTGTTTAAATATAATATATATTATATATATCATTATATTAATATATATTATTATATATAATTTTTATTTAAGAGATACCTTTCAACCTCGATTTTATCCATTTTATTTATAAGATCGTCAATGAAATTAGAAACATTTAATTCTTCACTGGGATGTAAACATAGACTTTGTTGAATTGCTATAGCCTGTGATAACAACAAATTTTTGTATAACATAATTTGTTAATATAGATATATTAAATGTATTCATTTTTCTTCTTATTAACACAAATGAATCTGTAATTACTTGTAATATAGCACCATTTATTCCCAATTCATGTGCATGTGTAATTTGTGTCACTTCTTTCACATAATGTAAAAGATTATCATAATTATTGTAGGAATATAACGATACAGGTGCAATTTTCATTGCACCACCATTACCATAAGAACCTCGACCATCAAATATAGCTTTTGCTGGACCCTTCACATCTATTTCTGGCTCAATTTTTTTATTCTTCAATTTTCTTAATTTCTTAAGTACCTATATATACATATACAGATGGATTGTTGTAATTTATTATTATAAATTATAATTATCAAAAAATTACAATTTCAGGAAGAGATATATCTTTTTATAAATGTAAAAATATTTTATTTCATATATACAGGGTGACCCATTTTAACTTAGGCAGCCAAATAACTCAAAAAATAAGCACACTACGAAAAAATGGTTAGAATCAAAATTTCGTCATTTCGAGGGGGACGTACAATGATGTTAAAATCAGCCCCCCCCTCCCCCTGGGCGGTGAGGGGGGGCAAGTTTGAAATCTTAAATGGAACCCCCTATTTTTCATTGCATATTCTTGTAGCTTATCTCGAGAGCTTTCCAAAACACTATAATTAAGTACCTTTTTATTAAGTACTTTTTGAGTTAAAAGGCTTGAAATAATTTCTTAATTTTACATAAACCATAAAATATCTAGTAAACCATTCATTTTTCGATTATCTTACCTTCATACTTTTATGTACAAAATAATGAGAGGAATCAATTGGTGTAAAGAAAACACATAGTTGTTTCTAAGAAAAAATATGTAATTTGCAATTAACAATTCCATATTTTTTCTTGAAAACAACTGTATGTTTTCTTTACACCAATTGATTCCTCTCATTATTTTGTACATAAAAGTATGAAGGTAAGATAATTGAAAAATGAATGGTTTACTAGATATTTTATGGTTTATGTAAAATTAAGAAATTATTTCAAGCCTTTTAACTCAAAAAGTACTTAATAAAAAGGTACTTAATTATAGTGTTTTGGAAAGCTCTCGAGATAAGCTACAAGAATATGCAATGAAAAATAGGGGGTTCCATTTAAGATTTCAAACTTGCCCCCCTCACCGACCAGGGGGAGGGGTGGAGGGGCTGATTTTAACGTCATTGTACGTCCCCCTCGAAATGACGAAATTTTGATTCTAACCATTTTTTCGTAGTGTGCTTATTTTTCGAGTTATTTGGCTGCCTAAGTTAAAATGGGTCACCCTGTATATATATATATATATATATATATATATATATATATATATATATAATATCCCAGTGTTTTTTAAATAGATTAAAATTATATAAATAAATGCAAAAATTATATTACACTTATACTACCAGTTCCATAACCACGATAGGGCTCTTGATAATAATTTTCCACAAATCGCTTTGCAATGTCAACAATATCCAGATCTCGTTTCTCAATTAAGGATTCGGCTAAAGAGCGAGTCATTGCCGAATCATCTGTAAACTCCATGACAGGCTCTATACAATTGAAAGAAGTATAAAAAAATTGTAACTGAACAAACTAAAAAAATGGAGAAAAAAGTATAATAAAAATATAAATAATATAATGGAAAAACAATATCCGAGTTTTATACAGCAATAATTCGCGCGAAAAATAACGCATGAGAAATCAACATCATTAGAAACTTTATTATGAATAGAAAAAAACTTTCAAAGAGAACAAATCTAACCTCTGAACTTTGTTCCTTCCAATGTATCGAGTCTTCGTTGTAAATAAATCTTTTTGCGACATGATATGACTTTCTTGCCTTCGTATGGACTTCCAAGAACATCTCCGACCAAAACGCCTAGCATTGTACCGCGAAATTTACTTTTCAACAATTCCAAGTCCATCTCTGACAATGTATATAAAAATCATATGGAGAAATCTAATCTAAAGGTGCCTATACATGGGCTAAGTTCCGTAAAGCGCATATCTGTGTGTAAGTGAGCACGTATCTATAATATTCGTCACGTATACTATAGGTAAATGCGCGCATATGCGCTCAAGAGTCGAGCGTCTGCGTAGAAAACCGTACCGGTACCATTGCGCAGATTCAGACACCATTGTGCAGATTCAAAACGAGTTCGAATCCAGCTACAAAAATAGTTGTATATTATTATATATAATTTAATCAAATTGATGAAAAAAAGGCTCTTATAATTTTAAATAGAAGTAATGATTACGTGGCGTAAGAGCATGAACACAAATTTAGTAATAATAATAAATATAATATTTTTAAATCTGATAATAAAGAAAAAGAAAAAATTACTGAAGAGCTTCTACGAAGTTACACTGAAAAAACTGATTGGTAATAATTATCAAATATATTTAGTTGTGAATTTTAATTGAATATTTGATAAATATTATCATATTTTATAATAATTACTAAATCTTCAATTTGTCTAGTTGCAAACAAATTTTGTTTGCAGTTGAATCAATTAAACAATTTAGTAATAATTATTAAATATTTAATACATATCATAAAATCTTTGATGATTGTTATTAAATATGTATTAAATTGTTGTAAATATTACTAAATCATTCAATTTAAGATTATTAGATATTTGATAACTATTATTAAATGATTTAGTTAGGTCAACATGTTTGATAAAATAATTGGAAATTATTAACAAATTTTGATAAGATAGTCGTGTAAAGTTTCGCGCAAGCACCCAAGGATATGTTAGTTTGTTCGTTCATCGCTATACGACGTGAAATGCGCTATCTTTCTCGTATTTAAGTTTAGTTATGAGAATTATATAAAGCTTGCAAAGAGTAACAAATAAGGTGATATAAAATAAGATTATATAAAATATATATATATATATTGTTCAATTTAATTTCTGATTTCTCAATACAAGAGTTTCAGATATTAAATTGATTTTATAAGTCGGATAAGTAAATGTCCGGCAAATAAACAAAAATAATCCGTCCTTTACCTATTTAAAATGTAAAGTGCAATATGCAAGTATAAATTATAAATAAAAAAATAATAATTAAAAAATTTGATTTTAATTAATTTTAATTTTAATTTTTTAATTTCTCGTTATCATGATTTAGTTAAAATTACCAAATATCTGATAATACTTATTAAATATATTATTTTCTGCTACCAAAATTTGATTACAGTTATTAAAATTTTATTAAACGAATCAAATATGTAATTGAATGAATTAAATTTAAATAGTCTAAACTAAATATTTTATTTACTCAATTAATTTTTTTTGTAATTGTTACCACACATTTAATTAGAACTATTTGCACAAATCATTTAGTAATTGTTATTAAATTCTAGTGTTTACTATTAAATTCTTTTTTCAGTGTACACAACGGCGAACGTTTCGATCGACTTTTCGATCTTCATCAGCGCAAAATATACCTTAACTTAAAGTCACAAAGAATAACAAAATCATGGTATAATAATAGATAACAATTGACGTTGACATTGAAAAATAAAGTTAAGGGAATAAAATGAAATATAAAAGTAAAAATAAAACTGAAAAATGTTGTCACATATTTAGAACCTGGTACAGTGATGTTATGCGAAGATAATAGCCTCAGTATGTGTGCCGCTGTTCGTCATAATTTAATCAATTATAATATTTACCATTAGTAGAATAAGAAGTTTTAGACTGTGAATTAATGATGATCGAATACCAATCCTTAATGTAATGATGATTAAAATTTTATTTTCATATACTTGACATACAAACTTCACAAGTATCAAATTTGTTGCCTATAAAAACAATGTTATAAAATATGTTTCTAACGTGGAGATATATAATAAGAGATATATGAAATAGGACTGTGTATGTTATAAAAAGCATGCAAGAAAAGTTCATGAAAATTAATTCTTTAATGTTTGATTAGATTTTAAAACATGATGCATCGATGTAGTAATATTCTATAATATATTTAATTTATTAATAATAGTAGTATTATGAATAATATTTTATGTATAATCCCAGCAAACACATAATATTGCAGCAACATTGCTGCAATGTTGTAATATTACCATAACATTACTGCAATGTCGTAATATTGCTGCAATATTGCTACAATATTCTGTATTTACTGGAATGTTAATAAATATTAATTTTAATAAGTATTATATATTAGAATATCTAATTTTTTCTATCTCGTGTGACTTACGTGTTTGTTATTCGTCGTAAAAAGCTGGAATCTAACGGCCCTTGCACAATGCTAGGCAACAGGCAATAAGAACAGAAATAGTATCTATTCTCTGCTTCTATTAGTGAATATTTTCTATTCCGCGTTTTTATTGGTGAATAGTTTTTATTCCCTATTCCTATTACCTGCTGTCTAGCATTGTACAAGCGCCTTAACTCATTCAGAATCCTGCGCAATGATACTAATGGTTTTCTGCGCATACGCTCGACGCTTGATGCTGACATGTATAGGCATCTTAATCGTCGCACATGCGCGCTGCAGATGAAATATTATGAGCGGGAAAAAATAAATTAATATTAATATTATATTATTCAATTTTAAATATAAATCACAATATTTAAAATCATAAAATATCACGAATTTAAGGATTATTAGAAAAAAATGCCTAGATGAGAATATTTTTCTAGAATGGTTGGCTTTTCGTACTAAAGCATGTAAATAAGTTTTCTGTATGCTACATATGTACCCATACAGCACATAAAAATTCCATACACATGCAATCTTTCACTATAATGTTGCAACGTTGCAAATTCACTGCAAGATGTTGCTGCACCATTATTGTGGGATTACAGCAACGTTAAAATGTCAGCTTTTAGAAATATTGCAATGTGAGATTGTAGTAATATGTTACGCTGCAACGTATTTGTAATATTGAAACACGTTTTACTACAAATGCAGATCGTTTTAAATTTAATAAATAAACTTTACAGGTATAAAAAAATGTTTAAGAAAGATAGGAAAAAACATTTATCTTTAAAAAAATTTCACGGCTTTAAAAAATCATCTATTAGTGTTTTTTATTAAATATTTATTTCAATAATATATACAATTAATATAATAATACATACAATTATTTTACATAGCATCGACACCAGAATATTTTAATACGTGCAATAAATAATGAACTCCATGATAATGATATCCATTTAAATTGAGAAAAATCTGTTTAATATTCTGAATCTCAACGAGGGATCTAGATTATTAAATAAATCACGATCCCTTATTCAGATTCAGAATATTAAATAAATCAAATCAGTTTATCAGAAAATAAACTGACACAAGACAAGAAATATAATTACTACATTAATGCTTTGTAGACCTTATATCCACTTTAGATGAAAATTCGAATGCGAGTTAATTAAATTTGGAATCGCCACGTAGCGGCAAGTAAAAAAACACATGTTATACATTTTGGTTATGTTAAAACGTTGCTGCAACATTGTGTTAAAGTAATATTACAAAATAATGTTTCTGTATTATTTCTGCAACATTAACCTGCAATGAGCATTGTTGATGCAAGCGTCTGTGCTGTATAGGAAATATTATTGCTAAATTCCTGAATATAAGCCAATATAAAATAATTAAAGAAATTAAGTCATTAAATTTAAATGTTAAACAAACAATTAGAATTAATAATTAAAATGTCTTTTTTTATATGTATTTAATTACAATTAATACATGCCAATTTTCAATATGTATTCAATTATACAATATGCAATATTTTATTAGTCGCGCCAACACAAAAACACAAAAACAAGGAACAAAAACACAAAAAACCATTTAAAAATTGGATGTATTATTAAATAATACATAATATGTATTATTAAATATTATATATAATAAAAATAAAAAAATCCTTTTATATTGATAAGAACTAATAAATTCCCAGTAAGCAAAATGTTAGCAGTCTGCCAGCAGCATGCGAGCAGATTCAAACAGAATATTGCGGCAGATTGGCATCAACTGCGTCCGCATTAAGCTTGGGTTCTGCTAGCAGAATCTGTCAGCATAAACCGACAGCAGATTGACAACAGAAATCGAGCAGGATCTGCTCATGTAATTTGATGTTAGATCGTCACCAGAAACCGAGCAGAATCTGCGCATACCTGATGGCAAATTGACAGCAGAAACTGCACAAAATTTGCGCTTATTTTATTAATGTTATATAAATGCAACAAAATTGATTATTACAAGTGCTAAATAACAATATTATCGGCAAGTTAATTAGAATTTTCTTAGAAAATAACATATATGTAATATGTTATATCGTAGTATATCCCATATAGCGAAGGACTAATTCAATTTAATTAAATTAATAATAAAGTAAATGATAAAAGTAAATGTAACTTGTAAAACTTGAGATGTAATTTATTATATTTAAAATTAAATTCTTGCTTTATACCTCAAATAGGCAGTACATGAATAATTTTTCATTTATCATATTGATTCCAATCAGTTTAATATTCTGACTCTCATTTGCTTGTATCAGATATCAGAAATTAAAGTGACAGAAATTAAAATGATAATTACTATATTTTTAGTCTTTTATTCATATTCGCGACTTTATATATATTTCTGACAGAAATTAAATTACGAGAAAGTACAGCTCACGTAGCGGTAAGTGAAGGAACTATTGAATCATGCAAACCCTGTTCCATTTCTGCCATCAATCTGCTATCAGAGATTGTATGTGCAGATCCTGCTCGATTTTTGCCGACAATCTGTTGTCAAATTGCATCGCACAGATCCTGTTCAATTTCTGCCACCAATCTGCCACTAAATTATGCCGGCAGAATCTGTTTGATTTTTCCTGCCAATCTGGTAACTGATTATGTTAACAAGCTTTGTTATATTTCTGTTGACATTCTGCCGACATCACATGATATATCAGAACCTGCATCGATTCTGTAATCTTTCTGTCGACAACAATTTGTAACAGATTCCCTGACAAGATCTGCTTTAGCAGACTTGGCTATTGGGGTTGTTTTACGTAAAAGACATTGTGCATTTTTACGATATACGTATAGCATTTATTCATAAATTCTCGTATTATCTTTTTATGTATCATATTTATTTATTTATATTTTGGATGTTGCTACATCTAACAATGCATCAGCCACTTCTTCAAATCGATCTGCTTGTTCACAATGTGATAAAAGTAGTCGACTAAATTTTTCATGGCCATAAAATGCACCTGCTATCGCGCCGGTCATACTAGCAATTGTATTTGTATCGCCTCCCAAAGTAATCTAAAATAATATAACGAAGATATAATATTTAATTATAATATAAATGATATAGTTTAAAAATATTTCTCTGTGTAATATCATTATAATTAATTTGCCATGATAGTTTTATTATAAAATCTATAACTTACAGCATATTGAATTGCTCTTCTGACAGGATTATCAGTTCGTATCCCCTTTATACGTTTTTCTGCATTTAGAAAACAAAAAATTGCAGTAGGGACTGATTCTAAAGCTGTGAGCTTATTACCTAGTTTTTCAATTATCCTTTGTTCATTAGGTTCACCTCCAGTTTCAGAAAGTAGATTTTTTACTATTTTTAACCGTTCTTTATATGGTTGGCTGTAATTTATTTGATATGATTAAAATAATTTTGTTTAAATATAATACATATATATTATATACAATTTCTCTATAAAAGAAATACCTTTTATCAACCTCGATTTTATCCATTTTGTTTATAAGATCATCAATGAAATTAGAAATGTTTAATTCTTCACTGTGATGTAAACATAGACTTTGTTGAATTGCTATAGCCTGTGATAATAACAAATTTTTGTGTGACAGATATCTATTAACATAAATATATTAAATGTATGCATATTTCTTCTTATTAACACAAATAAATCTGTAATTACTTGTAATATAGCACCATTTATTCCCAATTCATGCGCATGTGTAATTTGCGTCACTTCTTTCACATAATGTAAAAGATTATCATAATTGTTGTAGCAATACAACGATACAGGTGCAATTTTCATTGCACCACCATTCCCATAAGAATCTGCACCACCAAGCAAATCCTTTGCTGGACCTTTCACATCTATTCCTGACTCAATTATTTCATCTCTTAAACCTGCTAATTTTGTGAGTACCTATATATGTACAAAAAATTTGATGTACTGTATTATTATTATTATTATTATTATTATTATTATTATTATTATTATTATTATAAACCCTAATTTTAAGAAAATTATAATTATAATTTCAGAAAGAGATATCTCTTATAATTATAGAAGTATTATATATACAGGGTGTTCTAAAAAGATATGTCAAATATTTAAGAAGATATTCCTCACCTGAAGGATAAAATAATGTTGTGGACATATGTGCGGAAATTACTTATTTCAGGAGTTATGTTGAAAATACTGTTAGCTGTATTACTTACACAAGGAAAAATTTAGGATTAATTATTGTGGGTGACAATCGTTTAATTAGGTTTATTTATATTTGGTTTTAATGTGATCTTGAGTATGTTATAATAAATGTTGAAAATGTTCACCATTTTCCTGAATACACATACACACTCATACGGCACAGAATATTGCAACAATATTATTAATTGTTGTAACATTGCAACAACATTGCAATATTGCCACAATATTACTGCAATGTTCTGTGTTGTATGGGTATACTGAGTGTAACTTAAAAAGCGTTCACTAAGCAAATAGTGTTATTCCTGATTAAAAATCAAAAAGTACTGAAATATTTGTTTCTATAATACTTAATAAAACAATAATTATTGAATAAAGTCTTGTCAATCAACATCGATCTTTAGCCGCCGGGCGCACATCAGTGAGCTGCTCGCCTGGTAGTGTACGCTCACGAGTATTATAAAAAAAAATGTTTTAGGTTCTTTTCGACTCGATTTTTAATCAGGAATAACACTATTTGCTTAGTGGGGGCTTTTTAAGTTACACTCTGTATATATACATATAATATATACAAGCATATAATATATACAAGCTATACTTAAATTCGCTATAAATATATTTTAATATGACAAATTCTTTATAATCTTTTAAGACAAAAATTATCTAATACAAAAATGTTAAACCTATGATAATTTTAAAATGGGAAAAGTTTAAAGATCACGAATGAGGGTTAGAATTTTGCGCGCTCAAGAGTAATAAAATGGCTAGTGGTGCTTCCATCATGAATAGAATGCTTTTGATCCTTTTGATATTAGTGAAATTATTGTAAGAATATTCAAGAATTTTATTAAAAATCTATTTCTATTTATCTATAATGAATTATAACAACAGTTGAAACAGTTTTATTTAATAATTTAATATATCAATATTGATATGTGTCAGCTGTCATATGCCGACCAACCTCAATGGAGGCAATTAAATTTGATTTTAAACTTTTTCCACTTGAAAATGATTATAGCTTCAACATTTTCATATTAAAATTTTTGTCTTAAAATCTTACAAAGAATTTGTCACATTAAAATATTTATTTTATTTAAATTCGTGAATTTAGGTACACTCCGTATATAATATGTGTGTATATGTGTGTGTGTGTGTGTGTGTGTGTGTGTGTGTGTGTGTGTGTGTGTGTGTGTGTGTGTGTGTGTGTGTGTGTGTGTGTGTGTGTGTGTGTGTGTGTGTGTGTGTGTGTGTGTGTGTGTGTGTGTGTGTGTGTGTGTGTGTGTGTGTGTGTGTGTGTGTGTGTGTGTGTGTGTGTGTGTGTGGTGTGTGTGTGTGTGTGTGTGTGTGTGTGTGTGTGTGTGTGTGTGTGTGTGTGTGTGTGTGTGTGTGTGTGTGTGTGTGTGTGTGTGTGTGTGTGTGTGTGTGTGTGTGTGTGTGTGTGTGTGTGTGTGTGTGTGTGTGTGTGTGTGTGTGTGTGTGTGTGTGTGTGTGTGTGTGTGTGTGTGTGTGTGTGTGTGTGTGTGTGTGTGTGTGTGTGTGTGTGTGTGTGTGTGTGTGTGTGTGTGTGTGTGTGTGTGTGTGTGTGTGTGTGTGTGTGTGTGTGTGTGTGTGTGTGTGTGTGTGTGTGTGTGTGTGTGTGTGTGTGTGTGTGTGTGTGTGTGTGTGTGTGTGTGTGTGTGTGTGTGTGTGTGTGTGTGTGTGTGTGTGTGTGTGTGTGTGTGTGTGTGTGTGTGTGTGTGTGTGTGTGTGTGTGTGTGTGTGTGTGTGTGTGTGTGTGTGTGTGTGTGTGTGTGTGTGTGTGTGTGTGTGTGTGTGTGTGTGTGTGTGTGTGTGTGTGTGTGTGTGTGGTGTGTGTGTGTGTGTGTGTGTGTGTGTGTGTGTGTGTGTGTGTGTGTGTGTGTGTGTGTGTGTGTGTGTGTGTGTGTGTGTGTGTGTGTGTGTGTGTGTGTGTGTGTGTGTGTGTGTGTGGGTGTGTAAACATACATATGAAATAAGATAATTTTAGTATTTTTCTTTCTGGTATTATTATGATATATTTTAATATAATATGTTTAATATGTTTAAACATGCATGAGGGAAATAAAATTGAATGTATAATATAAATTTATATACTGAATATGCACTATATATTTTCTTAAATAGATTAAAATTATATAAATAAATGCTAGTAATATAAATAAATTATATTAATGATATTACCTGTATTACCTGAATTATATTACCTGTATACAACTTAATCCATAAACACGTGCGGGATCTTGGTAATAACTTTCCACAAATCGTTTTGCTACGTCAACAATATCCAGATCTTGTTTTTCAATTAAGGATTCAGCTACGGAACGAGTCATTGCCGAATCACTTGAAAACTTCATAACAAACTCTATACAATTAAAAAAAGTTGATGAAAAAAATTGTGATTTACTACAAAACAAACTAAAAATACAGATAAAATATAATAAAATATAATATATATAAATATACAGGGTGTGCCACTCGTGCATTAAAGGTTGACATATGTCATGTTGTCATTTAATCATGATACTCAGTCAGAAGTTGGCTATATCGCAGGGCCGAAAATGAAATGGTGGACGCCGCCCGCGATATTTCAAGCCGGAAAATCTCGTATAATATGTAAAATATTTACATTAAATCATACATCGTTATATTCGTTTCAAACAGCGCTACAACTTTTATTATATTAAAATATCTACATTATTATAAAAAAATTATACATATCTCTCCGTTCTTTATACAGATAAATTTTATAATCAACCACTATACTCACAATAAAGTTCAGTTAAAGCCATTTAATTTCATATATATATTTGTTATGGTCTATCTCTTTTAGTTTAAAAGATAAAAGGGAGTGGCCACTTCTAAGTGGGACACCCTGTATATATACCCAGTAAGCAAAATGTTAGCAATCTGCCAGCAGCATGCAAGCAGATTGAAACAGAATATTGCGGCAGATTGGCATTAACTGCGTCCGCATTAAGTTTGGGCTCTGGCAGAATCTGTCACCATAAACCGACAGCAAATTGACAAACAGAAATCGAGCAGGATCTGCACGTGCAATTTGATGTTAGATTGTCAGCAGAAACCGAGCAGAATCTGCGCATGCAACCTGGTGGCAAATTGACAGCAGAAACTTCACAAGATGTGCGCTTACTTTTATTAATGTTATATAAATGCAACAAAATTGATTATTACAGGTGCTAAATAATAATATTATCGGCAAGTTAATTAGAATTTTCTTAGAAAATGACATATATGTAATATGTTATATCGATATATATGCAATAGTTATATCTCATATAGCGAAGGACTAATTCAATTTAATTAAATTAATAATAAAATAAATGATAAAAGTAAATGTAACTTGTAAAACTTGAGATGTAATTTATTTAGAATCAAATTTTTGTTTTATGCCTCAAATAGGCAGTACATGAATAATTTTCCATTTATCATATTGATTCCAATCAGTTTAATATTTTGAATCTCATTTGATTGTATCAGATATCAGAAATTAAAGTGATAGAAATTAAAATGATAATTACTATATTTTTAGTCTTTTATTCATGATTTATATTTCGTGATTTTATATATATTTCTTACAGAAATTAATTACGAGAAAGTACAGCTCATGTAACGGTAAGTGAACAACTATCGAATCATGCAAACTCTGTTCCGTTTCTGCCGTCAATCTGCTATCAGAGATTGTGTGCGCAGATCCTGCTCGATCTCTGCCGACAACCTGTTGTCAAATTGCGTCGCACAGATCCTGTTCAATTTCTGTCATCAATCTGCTGTCAGTTATATCAGCAGGCTTTATTCGATATCTATCGAGAATTTGATATTATAAATTTCATTGCGCAGATTCTGTTCGGTTTCTGCAATCAATCTGACATCAAACTGTTTTGCGCAGGTCCTGCTCTGTTTCTGTCGCCAATCTTTTATAATAATTCTTCTATAATAATTCTTCTATAATAATTTTATACAGCTTCTGTTAGATTTCTGCCAACAATCTGATATCAAATTCATTATTCAGATTTTGCTCGATTTCTGCAATCAATCTGATATCAAACTGTGTTGCACAAATCTTGCTCGATTTCTGTCACTAATCTGCTGTGATAATTTTAAACAAATCCTGTTCAGTTTCTGCTATCAAATTATGTCAGCAGGTTTTATAACATTTCTACTGACATTCTGTTATCATTATTTGATATAACAAATTTTTTATACAATCTGCAATCTTACTTTCGACAAAAATTTGTAGCAGAAATTGACAAAATTTGTTTGAACAGACTTTGCTGACTAAGTATATATATTATATATATATATATATATATATATATATATATATATATAATGTGCGAAGTTTGTACGGCAATAATTCGCACGAACAATAAGATAACACATGAGAAACGAACGTCGAGAAACTCTTTATTACGAATAAAAAAATTTTCAAAGAGAATCTAACCTCCGCACTTTATTTCCTCCAACATATCGAGTTTTTGTTGTAAGTAGATTTTCTTGCGACTTGATAAGACTTCCTTGTTCTTGAATGAATGTCCAAGAACATCTCCGACCAAAACGCCTAGCATTGTACCGCGAAATTTATTTTTCAACAATTCCAAATCCATTTTTAACAATAGTTATTTTCTATCTACACTCAGGCGATACTGAGTCACTTAGTTATGTATTTCATATTCAGATGATGTCATTATTAAGTGAATAAAAGGAAACAGGTAAATACAGGTTTATGATCTCATACTTGCCAACGTGCATTCAATTGAATTATGACGTCACAAGTTAGAATTATCTGAGTTTTGATGTAAATGCAAAATAACTGTTATATATAAACATATGGAAATCTAACTTAACCGAATCCGATGCGAAAGTCCATATTCTGAATTCTCTTTTATCGATAAAAATGCCTCTAAAAAATGTCTCTAAAAGTGGCTCAATCGGAAGCCACTTTTATAGAGACTCTTTTATTGATAAAAGAGAACTCAGAATATAAGCCGAATATCATGGATCACGGATGATGACATTCGACGCGCATGTGCAGAGAAGAAAATCCATTTATGCACTGACTAGAGACCCTCTAATAAGAGACTAGCCATGAGATAGAGTGAGCGCATATTAAGAGTATATTTCGTCCATGTTTTGTGCAAAATCCTGCGAGAGAGATATATATAATATAGGTAGGATCTATAGAGACTCTAGATTTCAGATCTGTCTTTTCAATTCTTGCGTAGAACTAAAGTAAAATGATGTAGATGTGCAGCAGAATTTTGCAACAATTCGTCGGCAAAAAGATATGTGATAAAAATATTTCCCAAAAATGCTGCATGTCGTGCTACATGGATTAAAAACATTAATCAGAAAAATTGGATGCCTACAAATCAATCATATTTTTGTGATGTTTAGTAACATGTAAAATTAGTTTAAAAAATTTTTCTAAATAATATACGTCAAAATAATTTTGCATATTTACTATTTAAATAAAATAAAATTTATTATTATAATTTTATATCATTATAATTACTATTATTTATAAATATTAATATTTTAATTTAAATAAAATGTATTATTATAATTTATATAATATTTCTTATATATTATCTATATATATAATATTCATTACTGATTTATAATATTTATTAGTAATAAATATCATTTATATTCAAAATGAAATTATTATAATTTGAATATGAGCAGGAGTTGCATAAAAATGGCGGACCAATCAAAAGTGATCCTCTGAGTCTTTTATTATGGTGGGTTTTCACTTGACGCTTAACGCTGATTTTTTAGCGTCAAAAAACATCACGTGACTAAAAATAAAAGATACCAATTCGTCATTTTTTGATCACATGATATCTTTTGACGCTAAAAATGAGCGTCGAGCGTCAAGTGAAAATCCACCCTTAGAGGGGCTCTATCTTAGAAGGGAACTTAGAGGCACCGCGTGGCACGCCGTGCCACAATCCACGATTGCCATGGTGTAGTGAGTCATAGGCAAGCGTAAGCTGGCATAGGATATCAGCAATAAAAATTTAATAAATTTATTTCGTAAAATACATAAAAAATAAAAAATGTCTTGCTGCATTTGCAAATCGCATTCCGACTCTCATGAAGATATTACATTTCATACGTACGTATATTACTTTGAATTGGAACAAAAATGGTTTATAAAAATGATTTATCTAACCTACAATGTATTTATAATAATAGAAACATTTTTTTTCAAGCATTCCACGATCAGAAGAATTGAGAGCAAAGTGGATTGCTGTAATCGGAAGAAATGTTCCTAATTACAGCAAAGTGTGCAGTGATCATTTTAAACCAAATTTTTTTCAATATAAAATCAATCGAAAGCTTAATAAGATTCAAAGACATTTAATAGAAGGAGCGATTCCTACAGAAAAATTCCAGGAGTTCCAGGATTTACACGGTGCAAGGTAAATTTATCATAAACTACCCCAATAGCCAAGTCTGCTAAAGCAGATCTTGTCAGGGAATCTGTTAGAAATTGTTGTCGACAGAAAGATTACAGAATCGATGCAGGTTCTGATATATCATGTGATGTCGCCAGAATGTCAACAGAAATATAACAAAGCTTGTTAACATAATCAGTTACCAGATTGGCAGCAAAAATCGAACAGATTCTGCCGGCATAACTTAGTGGCAGATTGGTGGCAGAAATTGAACAGGATCTGTGCGATGCAATTTGACAACAGATTGTCGGCAAAAATCGAACAGGATCTGCGCATACAATCTCTGATAGCAGATTGATGGCAGAAATGGAACAGGATTTGCATGATAGTTCGATGCAGGATTCGATAGTTCTTTCACTTACCGCTACGTGAGCTGTACTTTCTCGTAATTGAATTTCTGTCAGAAATATATATAAAGTCACGAATATGAATAAAAGACTAAAAATATAGTAATTATCATTTTAATTTTTCACTTTAATTTCTGATATCTGATACAAGCAAATGAGAGTCAGAATTCAGAATATTAAACTGATTGGAATCAATATAATATATGGAAAATTATTCATGCACTGGCTATTTGAGGCATAAAGCAAGAATTTAATTCTAAATAAATTACATCTCAAGTTTTACAAGTTACATTTACTTTATTATTAATTTAATTAAATAGAATTGAAATTAGTTCTTCGCTATATGAAATATAACTATGATATAACATATTACATATATGTCATTTTCTATAAGAAAATTCTAATTAACTTGCCGATAATATTGTTATTTAGCACCTGTAATAATCAATTTTGTTGCATTTATATAATATTAATAAAAGTGCAAATCTTGTAAAATTTCTACTGTCCATTTGCCATCAGGTTGCATCCGCAGATTCTGTTCGGTTTCTGCGGACAATCTAACATCAAATTGCACGCGCAGATCCTGTTCGATTTCTGCTAACAGTCTGACATCAAGTCATGTTAGCATTGATAGCAGATCCTGCTCAGTTTCTGCCGACAATCTGATATCCGATTCTGTGAGCAGGTTCTGCTAGCAGATTAGAAGCAGAATGAGGACGCAGTAGATGTCATTCTGCTGACATGGTTTGATCAAATCTGTTGCCAGTCTGTCGACATACTGCTTACATTTTGCTTATTGGGTATTTATCTGATCAAACTTCGGAATAACATTCCCAGTAAGCAAAATGTTAGCAGTCTGCCAGCAGCATGCGAGCAGATTCAAACAGAATATTTCGGCAGATTGGCATCAACTGCGTCTGCAATAAGCTTGAGTTCTGCTAGCAGAATCTGTCAGCATAAACCGACAGCAGATTGACAGCAGAAATCGAGCAGGATCTGCGCGTGCAATTTGATGTTAGATTGTCAGCAGAAACCGAGCAGAATCTGCGCAACCTGATGGCAAATTGACAGCAGAAACTGCACAAGATTTGCGCTTACTTTTATTAATGTTATATAAATGCAACAAAATTGATTATTACAAGTGCTAAATAACAATATTATCGGCAAGTTAATTAGAATTTTCTTAGAAAATAACATATATGTAATATGTTATGTATATCGTAGTTATATCTCATATAGCGAAGGATTAATTCAATTTAATTAAATTAATAATAAAGTAAATGATAAAAGTAAATGTAACTTGTAAAACTTGAGATGTAATTTATTATATTTAGAATTAAATTCTTGCTTTATACCTCAAATAGGCAATACATGAATAATTTTTCATTTATCATATTGATTCCAATCAGTTTAATATTCTGACTCTCATTTGCTTGTATCAGATATCAGAAATTAAAGTGATAGAAATTAAAATGATAATTACTATATTTTTAGTCTTTTATTCATATTCGCGACTTTATATATATTTTTGACAGAAATTCAATTACGAGAAAGTACAGCTCATGTAGCGGTAAGTGAAGGAACTATCGAATCATGCAAACCCTGTTCCATTTCTGCCATCAATCTGCTATCAGAGATTGTATGTGCAGATCCTGCTCGATTTTTGCTGATAATCTGTTGTCAAATTGCATCGCACAGATCCTGTTCAATTTCTGCCACCAATCTGCCACTAAATTATGCCGGCAGAATCTGTTCGATTTTTGCTGCCAATCTGATAACTGATTATGTTAACAAGCTTTGTTATATTTCTCTTGACATTCTGCCGACATCACATGATATATCAGAACCTGCATCGATTCTGTAATCTTTCTGTTGACAACAATTTGTAACAGATTCCCTGACAAGATCTGCTTTAGCAGACTTGGCTATTGGGGATTTATTCTTTATTATAAAAAAATTATTATCATTAGAAAATTGAAGTTGTTTAACAAAAAGTCAGAATCTCGTTATATAGTACCACGAGAAGTAGAATATACCACCTAGAAGTAGAATATTTATTGCACAAAATAGCAATTCAGCAGTCCAAACACCCCAAAGTAATTAAAGATGTTTTATCTCCTGTGCCTCTATATAATGCGGACAATAGTCAGAACGATTCAACAAGGTAAGTCACAACATGTAGTAAGAAAAATATATAAAATTTTTAAACAGCATCATCATTTTCATATTTCTTTTTGTTTTTACAGAAAAAGAAAACGATCTGCAGACGAAGCCATCACATGCAATAAGGTACGAACGGTCAAATTTATTGGAGATCTTTGCCCTGAAGATCTTACTTCGCCCGAATGCTATGAAGTGGTTAAGAAATATCTGAAAAAACACAATATCCGAGTAAATAGTCTCCAAAAGCAAGTTGGTCGACTAATAAAGAGTCGAAAGCCTTAAAGATGTGCTGACACAGTTACACGACAACCCAGATAGACATATGTCAGCATATTGCCTGTATAATGGCAAAATTTTAAAATTGAAAATGCTTGCATAAACATTGAAAGATGCGTCCTCATATGACATGAGTGTTATCAGCAAGTGAAAGAGATCTTCTGATGCTGTAAAAATTGCGACAATATGCTGCTTTTGCCAGAAATAGAACGCAATTAATCCGACATTATTGGAGCAATAAGAAATGAATATATTTACAAAATTTTTCATTAAGGTAAATAGCTATAACTTCGTCAGCGGATATAATTTCGTCAAGCCTTCTTAAAATTAAATAAATTAAGCAATCTCGCGTATATCGACTATATTTTCCGATTTGAAACCGATGTTCAAATTGTTTCATAGAAGGTCATCAACAAACTTTTGACAACTCCAAGTAAAGACGTAATTAAAATTTGCGCTTGTGCAGAACGGATAATAAGGAATGAACCAAACCTTCTGAAGATGAATAATGTTATTGTCCGACTAAGTTATAGAACAAAGTTGTACCTTCTCACAAACTTATTTAACAGTCTCGAAACAGGTATGTTTCCACTAGATGTCGAATCAAATCATAAATTCAATTTAATCATCCAAATTATAAAAAAATTCCTAAAATTAATTCATCATGAATCGAAATCACTTAAAGATAAAATTGTTCGATTGAGATCATTTTGTAATCGATTGGTTATATTCAAAAACCAATAGATATAAGATATGATTAATAAAAGTAATTATTCATTTTTTTATATTCTGTAAAAAAAAATTTTTTTCCCCTCTTGGGAATATACCTACCTTACTCATTACTCCTATTACGCAAAGTATAACACGCAGTGCACGCGCCTCCAGAAGACAGCACCTTATTTCACCAAGTTTCACCCTCCAGAAGACAGCACCTTATTCCATATTTGGACGGAGTTTTTATGCGCGGGGGGTGAAGATTTTAGGGGAGGAGAGGGCCGCCATATTGTCTGACGACATTAATGTTGCTTTATAGTGACAGAATAATGAATTAATAATAAAATAACAGTGCCATCAAGTGTTGTCAAATTATTTTATTGTGTGAAATTAATTTATTGTATGAAAATATCAAAAAATGCCACTTTGTGTTGCATTCGGCTGTTACAACAAAATCCGTATCGAAGGTTCAAATATAATGTGTACAATAATAATAATAATAATAAATACGTAGCTTTAATAATAATAATAATAAATCAATACTACATAAGTTCAGCTTTTAATTTGCTTTAATTTTACACATTATATTCGAGCCTTTGAAGCGGTCGATCCAAATAATTGACATTTATGTACCAATTAATTTATTATGCAGTCGATAATCTTTTGCATAAAAAGATTGACACACGAAATAAAACTCATCCTGTATATATATATTTAGGTATAAAATTATTTTCAATAATTTTTCAAAAATTTTAATAAATTATATTTTATATAATTATAACTTTATAGCTTAAAATGTTTTAATACGTTTCAAAAAAACCAAAATATGAGGATTATTGTTCTCCATATAAACAATAAAAATATATTATTTTATATCATTTATATTAAAAGATATACTTTTAATATAAACAGAAAATTATTTTCAATCGCGCACAACTGTTGCATTAATGTTCTCTTCTATAAAAGTCTGTTTTCATGCAATAGAAGTAGAAATAAAATATCATGATATGTCATATTTTAAAGCGCCAAAATGTCGCCAGACAAGATGGCCGATCCTTCCCCGCGCCAGTATCGGTTCCCTCGTCATAAAACTAACTTTACGCTCCGTCCAGATATATTTATACGTCCATGCTCCATATCGTTCTGTCCTTTAAAAGACGCGGACAACTCCACTCACAGAACGCTGGGTCTATATTATACAGGGTGTTTCTAAAACTATGTCGAAGATTTTGAGGGCGTATTCTAGGGGTTAAAATAAGAAAAAGTTCATATAAACATGGATCCAAAAATGCTTTTCCTCCGAGTTATAGCCTTCTAAAGTTGAGAGAAAAAATGATCGAAACCACATAAAAATGAAGCTCATCATTACGCTGTGCAAAACTTTAACGTTCTATGAAAAAGTGAGAGTTACAATACATTTTTCGATTTTTTCCCTCCACTTTAGGGGGCTATAACTCGGAGGAAAAGCATTTTTCGACTCATGTTTATATAAGCTTTTTTTCTTATTTTAATCCCTAGAATACGCTCTTAAATTCTCCGACATAGTTTTGGAAACACTCTGTATCCCAGACAGCACACATATCTAAAAGACATCAAAAAGATGACTTAAAGACGTCTTAAAGTCCTTTAAAATCCTCTTAAAGACATCTTTAAGACATCTTTTGGCCATTTTGTGCTGTTTGGGTATGGAGGAAACCTTTGACTAGGCAATCTATGTTTTCTCTCGTTTATGCTAATTAGCCGCACTAGTTTGACGCGTCGCCGCCGCACCGCCACCTTCGCTGCCAACTCGTGATTGGTCGGAGCTCGCCCAATGAGCGGCGCCGTGCCGTCTAGGCGCGCTCTATCCGGGCGACCAGTGTACCGCCGGTCGCGTATCCGTTCGGGTTGTTTCTGTCGTCGGGCTCGCGCCCGTAAGATTTTCAACCCTTCGCGGGCGGATACCGGTAGTGCATCGCGAGATTTTCAGATATCTTCGCCCTCTCTCTCTCTCTCTTTTCTCGTCTTTTTCTCTCTCTCTCTTTCACATCGGATAATGATAGGTGCGCGTCGATGTTAGGGGTCGGCGCGACGATACAAATCGCGAGGGGATGATGTTATGGAGATCGGCGAGTTGACGTCCTCGTGTCTCGTCGCCGCGTCGTTTCCCTTGACGGCGGGTGGGTCGTCAACCGCGTCGCCGAGTGATTCACCCGCTCGAATCGACGATAATCATCATCGCCGCCGCCGCTGCCGCTGATGCAGCCGCGTGCGAGCCGCCGCCGCCGCCTCTCGCTCCCGGGACCTTCGTCGCGATCCTCGCGCGTTGACGCGCGCGTTTTTATCCCCCGTTCCACCCCGGCCGCTGTGGACCGATAAGAAGTCGCCCGCGGGTTCGTCATCGTCACAGTTCGTTATCAGAGTTCATTATCGCTAACGCATCTCCTTCATTAACAGGTGACAATTTTTCGAATATGCGATCTTTATCTTTTATCGAAACGATGCGAGGAATATTTCTTGTCTTTCTCGAAAGTTTCAAGCCTTTATCATCAATATAAATAATATTAATAATATTAATTAATAATTATTATTATTAATAATTAATATTAAATAATTATAATTAAACAGTTATTATAATATAATAATTATTATTAATAATTATAAATAATTATTAATAATTATTATTATAAAATTATTATTAATAATAATAATATTAATTGATAATATTAATAATATTAATATATATCATAATTAATATTAATAATTGTGTAATTTTTTTTATGATAGCGAAGAAATCAGTGATAGATAAGCTTTTTTAAATTAAATTGTAAGTTAATCAAATTTGCAAATATTACAACATGTAATGCATACGCGAGAGATTTTTCTAATAAGTAATGTCTCATTATATATTTCACGATATTCTCGTTTTATGCACGTAATAGTTGAATATTCAATAATTAAAATGCAATATTCAAGTTCGGGCGAGAAGCAATACTCCCTCTGTACGTTACATTAGAAAATGTAAGGAAAATCCCTTTCTGTTTTTTTGTATGCTTAGCTCGGTTCCTTTATATTATGATAATTAAAACAGGCGACTTTGAAATGCAAATGTCATCTGAGGAGAAATCTTGAAAAAAATATTTTGCGTAATTGAAAAGTTCACGTCGAGGTCATATCGAGCAATTGAACGCGTAACAACAGGTTGCTAAAAACTGATCTCTCGTAATCGTAAGTAAAAAAAATTTACCTTCAAGTTTATTTAGTTAAATATATATATATATATATATATATATATATATATATATGAAACAAATTTTATATATAAAATTTTCTACTGAAATTATGAAATTGTCTCAAATTATCTTCTTTTCTTTTATCTTTTAATTTCTTTCCGCGATAAGGAACTTAGTTACTCAGTCTATATCCATTAGATTAATTTTTTAAAATAATAATCATACATTATTTAAATATGTGTGGCTATAATCGTCGATATGTAAATTTTTCAATTACTTAAGTATTAATAAAATAGAAGTAATTGCACACAGACACGAGACTAAAGCAAACTCAAAGATTTGTTGAATGCCAAAGATTTTATTTTTGATGTAACGCGTTATTGTTCTTGTGACATTTTTTTAATTAACAATTTTTCTGAAATGCTAATTTACATAATTGCCCATTGCAATTGTTTCCGCGCCATTAAGCGCAGGTACGACGTAGAGCTTTATTTATACATGATACAATATGCCTATTGACCTCATATGCCGCGTCATTATATCTACGCGATCTCATCACGATATAAATATTTTGACATTAATCTTTAACATTTTCCATGAAAAATCCGCGTCTATTAACGTTAATTAAAGTGCACAGAAAAGTTGTTGCACCGCAAAACTCGGAGTGGTTTTGTTAGTAGCATTATTATTCTTTTATTATACTTTTATCTATCATTATTATTCTTTTATTATACTTTTATCTATCTCTCTCTTTCTCTCTTTTACATTAATATTAAATACTATTGTTTTGTATTACGATTTATTATTCTCGTAAACTATAAATATTTCAACCGAAAAATGTTCAACTAAATAAAAATAAATCATATAGGGAAATATCATATAATACATGTAGGGAAAGATATATTTTTCACACAATATTATCGAAAAATATATTTTTACTAAAAGTATTATTTTTTATTTTTACTAAAAGTATATTAAATATAATATATATATAATATAATAATATAATATATATATATAAATAATATATATATTAAAATTATATTTTTAATATATATTTTACACAATACCTACGAATAAAATTGCTAATATTTCAACCGAAAAATGTTCAACTAAATAAAAATAAATCACATATAGGGAAAGATACATTTTTCACACAATATCTTCGAAAAATATATTTTTACTAAAAGTATTATTTTTATTTTTACTAAAAGTATATTAAATATATATTAAAATTATATTTTTAATATATATTTTGCACAATACTTACGAATAAAATTGCTAAGCTAATTTAATTAATGTAATAAATCTAATATAAAAGTTTCCTTCTTTCTTCCAGTATTTTGTAACTTGTTTCTATGTCAGGAAAAAAAAAGTAACTTGATAAAGGGAGAGAGAGGTTTTATATATCAAGGGATTTCTTTGCTGCTAATCTTGCGAGAGAATTGCATTTTCTGGCTTTTATCAATAAATTTCGAGCGACCGCACCCCGAATCGATTTTGAAGTTTTGGCACGGTAACCTTTTGCAAAGTCATCGATTTTTATGCGAGCAATATTCATTCCTCTTATCCTTCCGGGCTATTTTTACAGTTTTCTTCGCGGGAGTGACCCCGAAATCTAGATCTAAGATGCAGCCTCAGCTTATGTCCTTACTTAATAGTGATTAATAGCGCGTATGCACGCCACTATCAAAGGAGCGGGCTTATCCTTAGGATCGCGAGGAACTCGAAGCACTCGGAGGAGGGCCGGCATATATCAGATTTCTCCGCCCTTGCCTCTCTCGTCCGAGTCCATTTTTATTCGTAATGTCTTCCCTTCACGTGGGACTTATGCCAAGTGCCGAGAAATCATGCGCCATTATCGATGTAAATAACAAATATCGCAAAGTCAGCTCTCTTCTCAAAGCTGTCACGAATTTCAATATTCGGAAAAATTCTTCGAGTTATTCCGTAAACGCGAAATAACTCGATTTTTCTCGACGCGAATAACTTGGAAGGTATAGTAATTTCTACGTTAAATTTTCCCAAATATACACTGAGGAAAAAATCTGATTGCATTAATTAGAATTCTGGTAGATTCAACCAGTATGTCTGTTGGAAAATGGACGAATTCTTGTACACAAAAAAAAGGACATTCTTATTTTGAAAATATATATTTAGTTTTAACATGGAAATCTTAAATTGAGATTATATTGCGTTAATTAAAGAAAAATATAATTGCATGAATAATTGCTTACTTGAATGAAGCCATTTTATATAGTTCAATCGAGAAAAATATATTCTTATGATTTAAGATTTAATTTTTTTGAATGGAAAAGAAATCATGTTGGATAGAAAATAACATTTTTAAATCAAAGATTATAATTTTCTTAAAGTAGAATTAAATAATTATATATTCTTGAAGTGACAATTACAATATTAAAATAAGACTATAATATTGTTGAAATTTAAAATTATTAAATTCTTCTAAGAAGATTATAAATTGTTCAGAACAATGAACGCGTTAATTTAAGTATATAAGTTTTGATTTGAACTTATTTTTTTCTGTAGAGGAATTAACAGATGAATCTGATTAATTTCTTCCTGTTAAATTTACCAAATTTTCTGGTTAATAATACTAAACTTGTCAGCATCAAGTCGTCTAAAATTTTTTCCATCTAATCTCAAAAGTCTGTTTAATATTCTGAATTCCAACAAGATTATTGGATAAATTCGATCCAGATTATTGAATAAATTATTTTAAATTCAGTTTGTTAGAAATTAAACTGATAAATAGTGATGCAAGAAGAGGATGCAGCTCAAATACACACAATCAGAGAGCTAGCGTCCTCTTTCTGGCACTATTGCTCATAAGAAAAAAAAATATACTTTAATGATTTAATGTTAATACTACACTGAGAAAAAAATCTGATTGCATTAATTAGAATTCTGGTAGATTTAACTAGTATGTCTGTTGGTAAATAGACGAACCAGAATTCTTGTAGGAATTACCAGATGAATCTGATTAATTTCTTCTTGTTAAATGTATCAAATTTTCTGGTTAATAATACTAAACTCACCAGCACCAAGTCGTCTAAAATTTTTTCCATCTAATCTCAAAAGTCTGTTTAATATTCTGAATTCCAACAAGATTATTGGATAAATTCGATCCAGATTATTGAATAAATTATTTTAAATTCAGTTTGTTAGAAATTAAACTGATAAATAGTGATGCAAGAAGAGGATGCAGTTCACACACAATCAGAGAGCTAGCGTTCTCTTTCTGGCACTATTGCTCGTAAGAAAAAAAAATACTTTAATGATTTAATGTTAATACTAGTTCTTTTTATGCATTTCATGGCAAATATTGAATACGAGTTAAGTTAAGAATAGCAAGCAAAGAAATTAATGTAACAAGAAATTTTATAGATTCAACCAGAAAATAAGAACTAACTAAATCCTTATAGTAAAATCTATTAAACGTTCTAGTTACAAAAAATCGAGTCTTATTATGATAACTAGAAATTCTTGTTTGCTTTAACCAAAATGCCTTCAATCATATACGTCTTGTTGGACAATCAAACGATTTTTCTCAGTGTACCAATCGACATCGATTTGGAAATATAATAATAAGAAATTCTCTCACAAATATAAAGAATGATTTATTCGTTATAAAACGAGAACATAAATGCTATTAACAAGATGGAGCTTTCAAAGATGGAGTATATTACTTCGGAGGAGAATATCTCTCGTGCAAATTTCGTGTATTCGCGTCCCCTTTGGGTGCACTTGGTCATCCATTCAGTTGTAAGGACGAAATTATCCGATCGGAGGGAATATTGATATAATCGATAAAACGCATCGCATGTAATTAGAACGTTAAAAATACCGCCCGTCACTATCTGAACGCGTATCTGAGATTACATGGGGGATATTTTTCGAAAGAGCGAGAGACAAAGAGAGAAAGAAAGTTTGTCGTCCAACAGAGGATCCAAAGAAGTCAAGTGAGACGCGGCGGATCGATAAGGAAAAACGCACGATGGTGACGAGAAACGTGACGACGATGGTGTGACCTCACGGGACACCGGATATATTAAGGAACAGGAAGCGCGGGAAAAGGCGCCGCCGCTTGCCGTCTTGTTGGATTCTCGACAATTTAGGCGGCGGCAGGATCATAGGTCATGGCGACGCCGCCGGACTCGCCAGGACCGGAAGAGGCGTTCTTCGAGTTCGAGAGCGTGAGGGCGAGGCACCAGACCACCAGGCCGGTGCCTATCGAGGAGCTCCTACGACAGACCAAGTTCTCCCGCCAGGAGATCCGAGTCATGTATCGCGGCTTCAAGCAGGTATGTAACACTTTTCTCGACCTATTAGAAGCACTATCGATTCCTTCCCCTTGGCAGGGCTATAAACGCGAAATTATGCAAAAGAAGCAAAAGAAATATTCTCGCACCATTCTCGTTCCACGTTTTTTTACGATTTCAGAGAAGATTAAAAAAAGGACGTCGATGTTTTTTTTATGGATACGAAAAAATGTGTTGTACGAAAGAAACATTTTTTTTTTAAATTATATGTTTAAATCTATTTTTTTTTCCTATCAAAATTATGATATTAATATCGTGTCGATTAAAAATAAAAAATTATTAATCCAAAAAAAGGACGTCGATGTTTTTTTTATGGATAAGAAAAAATGTGTTGTACGAAAGAAACGGTTTTTTTTTAAATTATATGTTCAAATCTATTTTTTTTTCCATCAAAATTATGATATTAATATCGTGTTGATTAAAAATCAAAAATTATTAATCCGAAAAAAGGACGTCAATGTTTTTTTTTATGGATAAGAAAAAATGTGTTATACGAAAGAAACGTTTTTTTTTTTAAATTATATGTTCAAATCTATTTTTTCCTATCAAAATTATGATATTAATATCGTGTCGATTAAAAACCAAAAATTATTAATCCAAAAAAAAGGACGTCGACGTTTTTTTATGGATAAGATAAAATGTGTTGTACGAAAGAAACGTTTTTTTTTTAAATTATATGTTCAAATCTATTTTTCCTATCAAAATTATGATATTAATATCGTTTCGATTAAAAACCAAAAATTATTAATCCAAAAAAAGGACGTCGACGTTTTTTTTATGGATAAGATAAAATGTGTTGTATGAAAGAAACGTTTTTTTTTTAATCATACGTTCAATTCTATTTTTTCCTATCAAAATTATGATATTAATATCGTGTCGATTAAAAATCAAAAATTATTAATCCATCATCAATTTATTTTCATCATCATCAATTTATTTTCGTTGCCAGATTTTAGTAACGCTATTATATAGTTCTTTTTTATAATATGCAAGATTTTTCTGTAATTTATTCGTGAGCAATATTTCTTCTATTTCACTCTTGCATAGTTTCGCAATTCTAGTCCACAATATTCAGAATTTAAATAAAAATGCTTTAAGTCTCAAAAGAGAGCGAAAGTTCCTTGATACTAATTTACTCAGATTAGATATTTAACGCACGAGCAGAAAGATTATATAATTTATTTATTAATTTATTTATTAATTTATTTATTTATTAATATAATTCTCGTATTCCATTACCATTCCTTTTCAGTATATCTTGAAATATGTAGCTAGACACTTTTAAATTTTATAATAGAAAATATAATTAAGCGTATAATTAAGTCTAACTCCAGAATCGATCGTTTTGAACTTGAAATCTTATCGAGGCCAAGATTTCCGAACATTGTTTTGTTCGACGTCGTCAAGATTACAGCAACATACGATAGCTGACAGGGTATCTGCAGCTTGTATTTTTAACTTCTTCTTTATTAAAGATAGTCCCGCAAAGTATTGATTATATTCACGGACATCCCACAGAAATTGTGTTAACGCGGTTACGTAAATGAATTGATTACAGCGCTGCTGGGCGCGAATGATCGTTAATAAAAAGCATTTCTTTTCAATTGACTTACCACGTCATCATCATCGAGTCTCTTCGGTTCGCATCCCTAACTATTCGCGACATATTTTACATCCTAGGTAATCCTAGGTGAATAGTAGACAATGCTTTTAAGGATGTTTTGTATCTATTTTCAAAATATTGAGAATTTAATGAAAATTGGATATTCGTCAATTTTGATTTTCAGCTACTATTTGCTGAGATTGTACATATAAAACATCCATAAGGATGTTTTGTACTTATTTTCAAAATAAATTAAATAAATAAAATATTGAGAAATAAAATATTGAGAATTTGATGAAAATTGTACAGAATGTCCTTACATATGTTTAGAATCTTCAGTACAACTTTTAAATCGATTCACTAAAGCGTTCATAAGTCATAAGAATTTTAATTTGCACCGAATTAACATGTGTTCTTATGGGAAACGTATAACCACGTTGATTCAAGTGACAGAAACACATGGAAATAATATTCAGAATTTGTTTAAAATTTGCAAAAGTTTAGATACAGAGGAAATATTTGGTTAAATAATATTATACAAGTACTAACTGGTTAAAAAGATATTAAATATAATTCAATCAAATTAGCCATGTATCTGTCACAAGGCGAAATTCTCTGCCGAAAGTTAATTATTTCGATTAACAAAATTCGGAATATTTCAGTAAAAACGTAATAAATATTAAAAAATACATTCTCATTATTTTATTTATTTTATTTATTTGGAAAATAGGTACAAAACATCCATAAGCGTGTTTTGTACCTATTTTCAAAATAAATAAAATAAATAAAATATTGAGAAATAAAATATTGAGAATTTAATGAAAATTGTACAGAATGTCCTTACATATGTTTAGAATCTTCAGTACAATTTTTAAATCGATTCACTAAAGCATTCATAAGTCATAAGGATTTTAATTTGCACCGAATTGATATGTGTTCTTATGGGAAACGTATAACCACGTCGATTCAAATGACAGAAACATGTGGAAATAATATTCAGAATTTGTTTAACATTTGCAAAAGTTTCGATACAGAGGAAATATTTGGTCACATAATATTATACAAGTACTAATTAGTTAAAAAGATATTAAATATAATTCAATGAAGTTAGCCATGTATCTGTCACAAGGCGAAATTCTCTGCCAAAAGTTAATTATTTCGATTAACAAAATTCGGAATATTTCAGTAAAAATATTAAAAAATAAATATTAAAAAATACATCTCTGCATAAATATTAAAAAATACATCTCTGCACTGTAGCAAAAATCAAATTGTAATATTTTACACAATTTCTAATATTCAAAATACACCAAACTTGGATATTCGAAAATATTGATTTTCAGATACTTTTTGCTGAGATACATACAAAACATCCTTAATCTGTAAGACAGATCAATTAATATTCTCAATATTTTCGAAAATTAAAACATAGAATCACGATAAAAAATATATCCCATGATTGACGACTACACTTAATACTATGCTTTTTTTTTATGATACAATACATAAGATGGGTCTCCACATATATATATATATATATATATATATATATATATATATATAGCGATAAAGTTTAAATTGCAACGCGGGGGGGGGGGGGATTGTATTGGACATAAGGCATTTATATCGATCTGTGAAACTTTGAAATATGGTATCTGGTTGCAAGGGAAAAGACTACAGCAAACAGAATTTACCTGCGTACATAGATAACAGAAACAATGTGCGATACAGGAGCGTGATAGTAAACGAAAAACACATTCATATAGCCATGAATGGTTTGATATCCTGTATACAATCTATGGGCAGAATTATAGCCATTCATATTGTCGTATCTTTTCCAAAAATGCAATAAGTTTACAATAGATTTTAGCAAAAGCTCTAAATCGTATTTTTCCATAATATGTTAAATATAACATGCTATATTAAATAAATAACGTACTGTAATAAAATAAATCTCTTTATTTTATTTTTACTTTTACAATTATTGCACAGATAATTTTATACCACTTTGTTTAGAAATTGGGAATTTGAAAACCTTAAGATAAAAGATTAATTATATGTATATTACTTATCTATAAAGAAATTAATGTATATATATACACACACACAGGGTGTGTCCCAGACTACTCGTACACCTTTTTAAAATAAAAATAAATGGCTTTTATCGCGAACAATTTTTAAGTAAATCGGGTACGCTCTGTAATTTTTTTTTAGGAGAATATGGTACTTTTTATTAAAGATTCGAATTGTACGTGAAAAAGTAAGAAACTTTTGTATCAAACGTTTTTTTTTTCTAAAAGTGCCTCTGTCAATCTTATCTTTGAAGTTCATTATTTCATCACAGTTACTTTCAAAGTCAATTTTAAGATTGACAGAGGTACTTTTAGAAAAAACGTTTGATACAGAAGTTTTTTATTTTTTCGCGTACAATTCGAATCTGTAATAAAAAGTACCATGTTTTCCTAAAAAAATTCAACTTCCGATCCGGATTGCCGAAGTATTTCCGATCGGAATCAAAAGTTGAAAATATCACCATTAGAACGTACTCGATTTACTTGAAAAATTGTTCGCGATAAAAGCCATTTATTTTTATTTAAAAAAAAAAAATATATATATATATATATATATATATATATACACGTGTCCCAGTTATATTCCGTCATTTTTCAAAGACAGATTCCTGGGATCATTTAAAGATGATTTTTCATCAGCGAAAATGTGAATGGAAGCCATCATTTTTTGCATGTTCCCGATTTTTATCATCATATATCTTTGTAATTAAGTCTTAAATTAAAACTCAACTAAAGTAAATTCTATTTAAAATTAATCAAAGAATGTGGTTTTGTTAATATTTTATTTTTACAAAGCTTAGTTTACGAAAAACCCCTTATTTCCAATCACTTATAATTCGAAAATTATTAGTGCCTCGACATTTTCGTTGAGGAAAAATCGTCAGATGATCCCAGGAATCTGTCTTTAAATGATTAATTATGAGTTTTGGGATACCCTGTATATATATATATATATATATATATATATATATATATATAAAATAAATAAATTAATTGTAAATAAATATTCTCTTCAATTTTTCTTCGAGTATGTCAAGTAGAGGTGAAACATTCGCGGCGAATATCGAGAAAATAGCGGAATATCCGGGATTTTCAGGTGAAATTAACACACACGTACCTTCCCTCTCTGCGTGCACGTAATTCTGCGTCACGCGTGTGACAGGGTTCTTCATTCATGCCATGCAAGCGGATCAACGTAGGGAGAATGTCGGGGAGAATTCGCGCTATTCTCATACCTCGGTGCATAATTTTTTGCCGATGCACGGCTCGATGAAGCTCAAAGCTTCGGAGTCCGGTGCGATCCGTTA